CTGTAAGCGACCAACTGGGCATGTCGGAGCCACTCCAGACTGGCGCGCGTGTGCACGTGTCTGTGCGCGAGCTGTGGGCACACAGCAGGGGACAACACAGCCAGCCTGGGGCTCATGGCCAGAAGAGACACGTTTGTGTCCGCGCGTGATAAAAACGGTCTGACCAGGGGGTGCCTGGGTGGCTCAGTGGGTTGGGCCTCTGCCTTCGGCTCAGGTCATGATCTCAGGGTCCTGGGATCGAGCCCCGCATGGGGCTCTCTGCTCGGCAGGGAGCCTGCTTCCCCCTCTCTCTCTCTGCCTGCCTCTCTGCCTACTTGTAATCTCTGTCAAATAAATAAAAATCTTAAAAAAAAAAAAAAAGAAAGAAAACGGTCTGACCACTCTGAAAGGGGACAAGCGTTTCCACGCAGCAGGGGTGTGCAGGGCTGGGGGAATGCACAGCAGGGAAGAGAGCCTCCAGGCAGGAATGCAGAGGCTGCCGGTTCTAGGAGAAGCCAGGAGCACAGGGAGCCATGGGCAGAGGCCCAGGCCGGCAGCAGGAGGGCAGCAGCAGGCCACCAATCTCTCAAAGTGGGCACATCCCTTTCATTCTGCAGCCTCATCGACACCCCAAAACATTCCAGAGGAGGAGGGAATAGCCACCCCCATCCTCCAGGAGAGGAGGCGGAGGTCCAGGGGCTCACCCGGGGTCCCCCGGGTTCAAGAGGCTGGGGTGCCCGCTCGGGCTGTCGGGCTGCAGAGAGCTGGTGCCGGGGCCCTCACCAAAGGCCAAAGCCCACGGGTGGCACAGCGGGAGCAGTCCACGGCCACCCGAAGTCACGCCCCACACCCAGCCCAGGTCCCCCGCACGCAGCCCTGCCGCCCATTACCTGCCCCTGCACGATGGCCTTCAGCAGAGCCAGCACCGCGTGCCGGGCCTCCGGGGGCCGCTCCGGCTGCAGCAGGTCCGCCACGGCCTTCCACAGCGCCTCCACCGCGTGCTGCCGCCAGCAGAGGGACCACGGTTAGGGGGTACGGGCCCCCTCCACTCAAGGCTCAGTACCACGAGCAAAGGACAGAGTGGAACGGTTCTTCTGACTCAGAACTCACTCCCCTGAAGCCCACACATCGTGTGCCCGCACAGCCAAGTGACCTGGAGGCTGCTGGGGGCCCTGCCACAGGCTACTGCGAACCGCAAACGTGCGCGGGCTCTGGCCACAGCCTGGCAGGGAGGGAGGAAAGCAGCAGGCCAGGGGAGCTGTCCCGGGGGCCCCCGGGATCGGTCAGGAGTCCCCCTTTAGAGCGTGCTCGGACTCCAGTGAAGAAAGCCACTGAAAGACTCTGAGGACCAGGCAGGCCTGGGTCTACAGCCTGACCCAGAAATCCCACTCCCCTGGCCTCTCCGTACCAGCCAAGGGCCCCTCTCTACCACACACCTGCCCCGCCTGGGGTTGCTGCTGAGAACGCTGTGGGCTTCTAGAATCTGCCTCCCAGAGTAACGGGGTCCTGTCCCCTGCAGCTGCCCAGAATCAGTCTCTCTTGTCACCTCCTCTGCTCCATGTTAATCATCCCGGGCTCCCTTCAACCAGAGTCTTCAGACCTTCTCAACCTTTTCTGGGCTCACTTCCCTTGGGAGGGGACTAAAATGTCCTTTAGATGATGTCCAACCCACATTACGACCATTTCAGGATGCTCTGGAACTTTCACCTCCTTGATCCTACACATAACACTCCTAGTGACACAACCGAAGCTACAAGATCACACACCAGCCCGGGGGACTCTGCCAGCCTCTTGGGCTCATCTATCTGTTCACCACAGCCGCCCCCCCCTGCTTCCAAACCTACAGGAAAACTTTATGGATGCAGAAGACTATTTTCACGTTTACCCTCGGTAACATACAGCCTGCGTGTTTCAGATGACTACCGGATGTCATGGCGGCCCTCCCCTCCCCCTTAGTAAATCCCAGTCTGCCTAGTCCATGTCTCCTCCCAAGTTGCCCATCCGATCTCCGGGCCAGGCTAGAGCAGAGCCCTGAGGTACTCTCACGACAACCTCCCACTGTGTGCTTGGGACGCCTGGAGAGAGCCTGCAACCATCCGCCCGAAATAAATGGGCCTATGTCGGTGAAGCTGCTCGAGGCTACCAACCAGACACCTCTCCCAAAAAGACACCAGAAATGGCATGCTTTGAGCCACAAGGTTTCCAGATGTTCCCTTCCCTTCCCTGAAACATGAAGACTCAAGTAAGCGTGCATTTCTGCAACTCCCTATTAAAGCCTTTCTCGGAACTGCCACAAAAACCTTAGTGCCTCTGCTCCCCACCTCCACGTGTGAGTGACCCCAAGGGATTATGCCCAGAGCATTCCCAGAAGCTCCCCTAAAAGGTTGCATAAGTTAGTAGTAGCACGTAGCGCTCAGCCGGGCTCCTCGAAAGAGCCACGTCAGACTTGTGGACAGCAGCCAACTGAGGCAGACCTACCTCTTCAAATTTCTTCGTTTTGGCCACCTCACAGATCTGCCCTATCACCCGGATGCGACTGTTGATACCACATTCGACACTCAGTTCCTGGCGAGAGATGAAAGCGGCAAAGGGGCCGGGGCTCAGGCAAGGGGTCTCCTTAACCACCAGGCACAGACCGCCCGAGAATTCCCACGCTGGAGACCTGCCGCGGCTACTTCTGAAACCAGGGACCACCAGAGCTTACGACTCCATCTCAGTGGGGTGAGAACAGACTCCCTCTCTTTTTTGCGATATTTCGTTTTATTGAGACAAAATTCACGTAACAAAATTAGCTGTTTGAACAATTCAAACCTGTACAATTTGGGCATATCCACGACGCCTGCAACCGTGTCCGCCAACTCCCAAATGTTTTCATCACCTAAGAGAAAACGTCCCACCCACTAGCAGTCACCCCCCTCCCCATCCCCTCAAGCCCCCACAAAAGCTGACCGACTTTCCGTGCCTATGGACTCTCCCGTTCTGGACACGGCACGGATGTGGCGGCACTCGGTAGGTGGGGCCTCTGGGCCTAGCTCCTTCCACTTAGCCTGTTTCCAGCGTTCCTCCACATCACAGCGTGTGTCAACACTTCCCTCCTTCTTTTGCCGAATAATAAATACTCCGTCGTACGCAGCTTATCACGTTTTGTTTCTCTGTTCCCCAGCTGAAGAGTATCTTGGCTGTTTCTGAACGGGAAACCTCACGCGTGCAGAAACTCGGCATTTTCTAAATCACGGTGCCGGGGTGTGGTAGAGCGCCTCAAGCACACTCCAGGAAACAAAGACCAGCTGCTCCAAGGAGCTCCCAAATGACCAGGGTCTTAACACCTGGCTATAACCCTAATCCCCTGCGGACACCAAGCCCGGTATTTTCGCCACGGCGAGTAGAGCAGGCTCTCCCGCACGGACACCCGAGTACTACCTCAAGTGTGCTGGACCCAGTCCCCGAGGTCCTGACTTCCTCGACCTCCGACGGAAAGACAGGCTTCCACAGCGCTGGGGATGGCAGCAGTCCCACCTCCCACAGAACCTGGTGACAGAGGGGACCCAGCCTGCCCTGCACCTCCCAACAGGCTAGCAGAGCACACGAGGCAGCTCACTCACTCTCAGGATGTCGGCCGTGATGATAAACTCCGTCTGTTTGCCCTCTGCAGACCTGGGGTTTGGCCTCGGGGTTCCCAGTCCTAAGAGATTCCTGAATTTCTCCTTCAGGCCTGAATCTTTGCTTGTCGGCTTGGCCATGGTGGACAGGAACGCACCAGAGGCCGCCTCTACGCCAAAAAAACAGGCGGAGAGCTCAGGGGCAGCTCCCCGCATCTGCCCCGCTGCCGACCTCCGGATGCCCGCCCGGGAAGCCGAGTCTCGGGTGAGCACGAGCCTCCCACAGCTCCTGGGAGGAACCCAAGCACGGCCTAGCGGTCCCGGCTAGCAGCGGGCACCGGGTGAGGGCGGGGAACGGCGCGCGGCGGCCCCGACGCTCGCCTCCGTCTCCTCCCGACGTGGGGAAGGCCTGTCCCGGACGCCTGAAGCAGGGGGACCCCCGGCACCCGCTCCGTCTTAAAACCCAAGAGGACTGGCGGCTCCAGGCTCAGGCTGCGGTGGGCGCAGCCGAAGGCCGGGGCCGCGACACTGCGGGATGCGCCCCCGCCGCCTCTGCGCGGAGCAGCACCCTCCCCTCCCCGGCGCGGCCGCCTCGCCCTGCCCCATCGCGGCCGGGCTAAGGGTGGGCAGGGCTGGCGTCAGCGGTCTGGGGGCAGCGAGCCACTCACCCGGAACCCGGCGCCCCGCCGTCCCGGCGCGGAGAAAGGAGCGCACGCCGGGCCCCACCCCCCAGCCCCGAGCCGCCGCCGGAAGCTCGATCCGCACTTCCGGCAGCGCACAGAGCCGGAGCGCCACTGGCGAGCTTGCCGGGAGTCGTAGTTCCCGGCCGCTCTCGGGCGGAAAGGCGGAGCGAGGATCGAGTCACGTGACGAGCCGCGGGGGACGCCGGGATGTGTAGTGCACAGAAGTTTGTCATGCGCATGGCTGGCGTGCGGATGGTGACCCGAAGCCGGAGCCGGAGCCGGGGCTCGGGGGCCGGGCCGCGGGGGGCGGGGGAGGAGGCCGCGCCGGTGCGGAAGGGAGAGGCGAATGCAGGTAGCCCCGCGCCCGGACCGGGGCATGGGGAGAGAAACAAGGGGGAGAACTGCAAGGGGCTGGGGGCTGGGATTCCGAGTCGCACCCACGTGGGGCTCTGGCTCCCACCGCTCTTCCTGTTCCCAGGACGCAGGGGCAGGGGTCCGGGCGCTCGCACCTCCCCGACCCTCCGCGTCCCGGTAGCCTGTCCCGGGCGCCAGGCTTTCTGTGGCACACCAGCCTCGTCTTCGTAGCTGCTTCCCGCTCGGAGAGACCGGGCGCCGAGGACACGCCCACCCCGAGGGCGCTGGAGGGTGCCCCTGAGAGGAAACAGGAAAGGGCGTGGTCTTCGTTTTGTTTATCCTGCAGGCCTCCAGGATCCGGGGTGTACAGGACCCCGGGGTGAGCGAGACCCACAGGGCCCCAGCAACAGGACAGCCAGAGGGGGATTCCCATAGGCACCCAGTGAACTTAGGGGTGTGACAGATGCACGGAAAGGGGAACCGGGGCAAAAGGAGTCAGTAGGGGACAGTGCCAGCTGTGTAGGTACCTTGATGCTGGGATGGAGTTTGGGGTTTGCCATGAATACAAGGAAAAATCAGTGAGGAGTTTTGAACGGAAATGACACAATCTGATTTGGGCCTTGGGAATGTCTCTCTACGCCGGTGTGGAAACAAGATGGGGGGGGCACCTTGGAGGAGGCCTTGGGGAGAGTCCTCCTGTACTAATGCAGCCTTGGTCAGGAGCCCTCCCCAGGAGGCCAGGGGAAAGCTGACTTGCCCCCAGAACACGTGCTGCAGAAGCCAGAGCAGCCCCAGCTGCGAAAGATGGTGGATGGTTGTTGAAGGAATGATGGGGGGTGATAGCAGGCAGGGTAGCACCCACACCCACCCTCACCTATGGCCCCCGCTGAATGGCACTTTTTTTGCAGAAGGAAAGAAAAGCCATGGTCCCACAAAGCGCCAGCGGAAGACGCAGAAACTGAGTGTCGCCTACGAAGCCTCAGATAATGAGAAAGGAGAAGGCGCCAAACCCCCAGAGGCACCAGGCTGGGAGCCCCCGGACTGGCAGCAGCAGCTAGTAAACATCCGCACCATGAGGAGCGGGAAGGACGCACCTGTGGACCAGCTGGGTGCTGAGCACTGCTATGACCCCAGTGCACCCCCAAAGGTAGGCAGGCGCCCCGTCTTCCTGGTGACTGCCTTCTGGACAAGACACTTGCTTCCTCTCAGGCCTCTGCAGGGCACAGCCTGATGCCTGGCAGCCCTTGGTGGAACCCTCCCTGGCAGGTGCCCCTCGAGGGGACAGCGCCTGGGCTTGTGTGTGGGATGCGTAGGGTTATCCATGAGGCCACAGCGATCACAGTGGCAGGCACCGGCTGTTGAGCACCGGGTTTGACACTAAATGTTGTGATCATTCATCTAAGCCTCCTAGTGGTCTTTGTGTGACAGGCACTGTCACTGTCCCTGTGTCCCTTACGTATGAGAACACGGTCCGTTGGCCAGGGTAACAGGTGCAGGTGGGAAAGGGTTTGCGGGGGCCGGCCCACGGTGAACTCCCAGGACCTGCCACTACTCTGGTCCCCGTCACTGTGCAAACAGGTGCGGAGATACCAGGTGCTGCTGTCCCTGATGCTCTCCAGCCAAACCAAAGACCAGGTGACAGCAGGCGCCATGCAGCGGCTGCGCGCTCGGGGCCTGACGGTGGACAGCGTCCTGCAGACGGATGACAGCACGCTGGGCGCGCTCATCTACCCCGTAGGCTTCTGGAGGGTGAGCCCACGGGCCTCAGAAAGACGTCAGGAGGCCAAGGGGAGACTGTAGGGTACGGGAGGCCAGGTGGGGCATCTGAGGTTGTAGGGACCCGAATGTGAGTTCCCACTGGAGCCCCCTGCCCGTCTAACCAGCAAACGGGGCCAGGGCTATGGGTCCTGCCTGCTTGGCCTTTCCTGTTTGCAGCCCACCCCTTCCTTCCTCCACCTCCCCACCCAGCTGACTGGCGCTTCCCTTCCTCCCTGAGGTTGCCCACCCACCTTTCCCTTTGTTTACTCCAAGCCTCCCTGGAGTGCGTCACCCCCTTCCCTCTGGAGCCCCCACAGGCCACAGAGCACTGGGTGGTGAGTGAGCAGATCTGTTGAAGACACCCCGGCGGGTGGGGCTGCTTCCCCTTGGCATTGGCGTGGGCTGCAGTTTGTCAAGAGGGTTTTAAATAGCTCTCTCTACTCGGGGCAGAATGGGAACCACCCAGCTGGCCTGGCGGCTGGCGGGGGAGCCCCAGGCCCCAGCCTTCCTTCCTGAAGGTCCAGGTGCTGCGGAGCCCAGCTCCTGGCATGGCTGGCCTTGCTTAGCCGACCTGGCATCTGAGGGAGTGATGGGACAGGGGACCCGAGCAAGACCCCACACATGTGTCATTGGTCCAGGCAGGTGGAAAGCAGGGGTCCAGGCCTGCACTGGGCCTGCCTCAGTCTCCCTGCTGCCCTTGGCTCATTCCCACCTCTTGGGGGGACAGAGGCAAACAGTTGCTTCTGAATGTGTCTTAGGCAGGTGACAGGCAGCTCCGGACACCTGTGAGTCTCCATCGGGACTTATCCTCCCAAGTAGGTCTACATTCTCCACCTCCAGAGCTGACCTCCCCCCCGCAATCCCCCACCTCCGTCTTTCAGAGCAAGGTGAAGTTCATCAAGCAGACCAGTGCCATCCTGCAGCAGCGTTATGGCGGGGACATCCCATCTTCAGTGGCAGAGCTGGTGGCACTGCCAGGCGTTGGGCCCAAGATGGCGCACTTGGCTATGGCGGTGGCCTGGGGCGCCGTGTCTGGCATCGGTGAGTGGCATACACGGTCAGGGAGGGCAGGGTTGGTCACATCCCATGGTCTGTGACCCCAGCTCAACTTCCCTTGCCCACAACGTGACCCAGGGGATCAGAAAGATGTTTGCAGCACTGAGCTAGGCCTGCCTGGTCTACAGGTGGGTACTGATGCGAGGAGTTTCCGTTTGCTGAGCCCTTGCTGTGCGCTGGGCTCCGTGAGAGGCCCTGGAGATGGGTTCAGGGTCCATGCTGTGTACGGAGAAAGACGTTGGGCAGGTAACTCCTTACCTCTGAGCTAGAAACAGTCTTGGGGGGTCGTGCACAGTGCTCTCAGCGCTGGCCCAGGCTAGGGCATTTGGGAGACTTCTAGAAGGAGATGATAATCAGCCAAGAGCTGAAGATTGAAGCGGGCTAGTCAGGCCAGGAGGAGGAAGTGCTGTCCAGGCAGAAGGAGCGACATCCACATCAGGTGGGAGAAGTGGCCAGGAGAAGGCGGCCCGAGAGTGGGCAGATGGGGGAGGCCCGGTAAAGGCAGGGGGACACCAGGGGAGGGGGAGCTGGGGGGAGCCTCTTCTGGAATCCCTTTCCTGACATTGGTGGTGTCCATGAAGACAGACCCTGGGTCAGGCTGCGGCTGCTTCTTCAGATCTTTGCCCAGATGTCTGGCTCCTGAGGCTGCCCAGCTGCCGGCCCGGCCAGCCCAGAAACCTGGCCGGCCACAGCCTCTCTGCATGCCCCTGCCCCGAAGCTGGTTACCCCTCCGGAACTCCTGCAGGGGGTAGAGGGGGGGCAGACATCTTCCCAGCACCTCCCCGGCTCCTAAGGCCTGCTCCCTTCTTGGCACTGCATTTGAGGTGGAAGGCAGCTAGGGGCTAAGGGTTCTAACCGTGAAGGCTGCAGCCCAGCAGCCCCAGAGACCGGCGATGGGCCAGGCAGGGGCTAGGGCAGAGCCTCCCCTGAGCCCCACCCCCACCGCCACCACCGCCCCTGATCCCGCAGCCGCCAGCCTCTCAGCAGATACCTGAGCTTATCTGGGCAGCTGTCCTCAGCTGCCCGGGTCTCAGAAGGGGATGGTGGAGGGAAGGGCCCACCGCCCAGGGACTTCCGGAGCAGCAGACACGCTGGAAGAAGTCCGAATGTCACCCTTTCCGTATGTCTGGAAGGCCCTGCCTCTCTGGCTTCTCCCGGGAAGGGGCCCATCAATTAGAAAGCCAGAGCAGCCAGTCCCAGCTGGATGACCAAGAGACAAGACGCTTAGCCTCTCTGAGCTTTGGTCGCGGAGCTGGGAAAACGTACAGAGGACCGGTCCACAGGAGGCTCCCGTAGTGTGGTGTGGCCCTGGGCTGGGCCTCTGGGGGACAGGCAGCGTGATCGTTTCTGTGCTACAGAGGAGGATGCTGAGGCATGGTGACCCACTAACCTGACCCCCACACCTGTGTGCTCTCCCTGTGTCCCCCAGGGTGCCCTCTGTCAGCATCTGGGCAGGGCCTGAGCCTTTTTCCAGACCATCAGGAGCAGGGGAAGGTAGCAGGTGTAGGGCTCAGGTTGTCTTTGGCAAAGACTGGAGGAGGTAGGGACTACAGCTGGTGGGGAGAAAGGGGCCCTGGTGAGCAGGTGCCCAGGCCGAGCCCTGGGGTGGCTGGCCAAGGGATGCCGGGACTGTGGCCCAGGGAGAGGACAGCTGCATCTGGCCTGGCCATCCTCCCTGCTCTGTCCCTGGCCGTGCCGGGTGTGGGCTCTGGGAGCGGCCTGGCACCCACAGCCAGCGTCGGGGCGAGGAGGCACAGCTCCCTGCACCCCTGCTAGGGGGCCCAAGCCCTTTGATTCGAGCCGCTGCCCTGCCTTCCGTGGCAACCCAGGGTTTGGAGCGGGGAAGACTCGGGCTCCAGGCCTGGGTCTGGCCAGCACGCCCTGTGATGAGCCTGTCCTGTCTCCCTCAGCGGTGGACACGCACGTGCACAGAATCGCCAACAGACTCGGGTGGGCCAAGACGGCGACCAAGTCCCCGGAGAAGACCCGTGCGGCGCTGGAGGCCTGGCTGCCCCGGTGAGGCAGGTGGGGGCTGGCGGGGCTGCCCTCAGCCTCCCTCCCCCACTGACCTCTCCCCTTCACAGGGAGCTTTGGAGTGAGATCAACGGACTGTTGGTGGGTTTCGGCCAGCAGACGTGTCTGCCTGTCCGCCCGCGTTGCCAGGCCTGCCTCAACCGAAGCCTGTGCCCAGCTGCACGGAGCCTCGGCGGGCCGTGAAGCCTGGACCTGGATGCCATGCACCAGCCGACCGTGAGCCTTTGCTGGGGGAGCCACAGCCTGTTTTCTAATAAAGCTTGGGAATTGTTTGCAGCCGGGGTCTGGCCAAGTCTCACCTCTGGGGCGTGGGGGGGCAGGCCGGGAAGCACGTGCGTGCGCTGCGTGTGTGCCCGTGCTCGCGTGTCTGAATAGGGCTGGCTGGGAGGCTGACACGGGGACGTGACCATCTGGGCTGTGTACGGGGCGGGGTTGGGGGAGCCTGGGACAGAGGAGACGGGTCATGGAAGCCAGCTGCACGCAGCTGCTGGGAAGCCCGCTGGAGACCCGGGCCTCCTCCCTCCGGGGCAGCAGACGGGGGATCCAGGTCTGCACCTCCCCTCTTGCTGAACTGCTCCGTGAGAGCTCTCTGCTCGGAGGTCCCCCTGTGTTTACAGAGCCACCTGTCCTGTGTAACACCAGTAGGCCCAGGCCAGGCATCACAGGGCACAGGAGACCTGACCTGTGCGTACCTGCCGGGGTTGGGGCAGGGAGGCTGTGTGAAAGCGGAGGCGTCAAGGGTGCAGAAGGCATGGAGAGTGAGGTGCTGGGGGGCAGGGGGAGGGAGAAGCTGGCAAGGGCCCCAAAGAGTGCCAATGAAGGAGGGAGCAGGGCTCCAGGTTACGTCCCCCTCCCCCAGGGTGGGGAAGAAAGGGAGGGGAGAGCGAGGAAGCTGAGCAGGGTCAGGCTGGGCGGCCTGGTGGATGGAGTGGGGGCGGCTTAGGAACGGGACTCTGGTTCCAGCCTCTGAGAGCGGGCTCCCAGGCTGACTCCTTCCTGCCCAGACCACAGCCCCCCACCCTCAAGTGAGGGCTCAGGAAGGACAGAAGCGGCCACGGGTCTGAGGAAGGCCTGTTTATTAGGAGGGCGCGCATGCGCTATGGCTTAGATGGCAGACAGCAATGTCAGTGGGGTTCGCTGCCGGGGCCAGGAGGAAAGGGAGGATGGGCGAGGTCCCTTGGGGGCAGGATCTCCCACAGCCACATTCCCCCTGCCTCCCGCAGGGACAAGAGGCCTGTCCAGAGGCCACCCTTTTTTGAGGACATGGGGCCTCCATCCTCGGGCCCCTGGAGCCCAGGCCCAGGCTCTAGTGCAGCAGGGACGTGGGGCCCTGGCCTAGTGACCACCCCCAGCAGGGAGGGGGCAGAGGGGCAGCTCCTACAGCCACATGTGGCCTCCCCAGGGTCACACTGAAGCCCCCACAACCACAGCCTGGCCCCCATACGTTTTTCTCTTTCCCTGGAAGTGCCCGGGGCTCCCACTTGGGATGGCTGCTGCTGAGGGTGGGGAGGAAATGGTTTGCAGAGAAAGGTTTGCTTTATTGCAGTGACTGAGAGAGGCGTCCTGCGGGGGCGGGACTCTGGTAGTAAGTGGAAACATGTGGAGCTGGAGCTCTTTTTTTTTTTTTTTTTTTTTTTTTGTTTTTGGAAGAAAAGCAAAAACACAAATTCCTTTAAGTCAGCAGGCCCAGGCAGAGCAGCAAGGGCCTGGCCCACGGTCACCACTGCCCCTCCCTGACACTCTCTTCTACCTCGAGAGGGGCTCCCTCTCCCCTATCCAGCACCCAGCAGGTCGGGGGCAGGGGGGTGGGGAGCAGGACGGGGCTCACTGGGGCGCACATTGGTTCCTGGGTGGTGGTGGGACCAGCACAGCTTCTGGGGGTGAGGAAGCACCCCCTCCAGTCCGCTGAGGCTTGGGGGACTCTGGGCGGGGCCCGAGGGCCGTGCAGACAGGCGGGGAGGGGCTCAGAAGTTGCTGAAGATCTCGCGTTTCCGGTTCCAGTCCATCTGTGGCGCCCGCTTGTTGACACGGGTGGCTCTCGCCTTCTCCTTGGCTTCCGCTGCCGTGGGGCTCAGGTGGAGACCACTCTCCTGAAAGGGGTCCCGCTTCCAGGTGCTGCTGTCCTGGGGTGGGGGGCAGAGCGGGCAGGGGGCCAGAGTGAGCCCCAGACCCAGGCCCTCCTAACCGTGATCCCTCCCAGGGAGCTCACGCCACAGGCCACCGGGCGGGGCTGGGGCAGCGGGCCCAACGGGGCATCCTAGAGGGGCTGACCCCACTGCCCAGGCCGTCCGCTACACTAAAGCCCACCCCCGAGGCCTCTGACCGCGCCCCCCTCGTGTGTGAGCAAAGCAGTGGAGGTGGGCGGGCACTTGCTACCTCAGTGTCCTTGTCTAAGCCGGGCAGGTCACTTCGGGACGAACACGCTGAGCCACCATTGAGCTGGGAAACCAAGGGCAAGGTGTGGCTTCAGGGACTCTGCCCGAGCCAGAGCGGCCCCCGCAGCCACACAGGCGCACGCGTGCACGCATGCGCACATCAGAGCCACGTCTCTCCTTCCGTCCCGCCGCAGGCGCGGAGCCTCTACTGTGCTCCAGGCCCAGCCTGGGCAGGACGCGGGACACCCAGCAGCGAGCGGACAGGTGCTGCAGAGGGCTGGAGAGCCGGCCCTGGCCAGCTTCCCAAGGGGTGACGAAGGGGGACTCCAGGTCGCCGGCCAGTGCTGGGCAGAGGGAATGACAAGGCCAAGAGCCCTGTGGGGCTGGGGGTGTGGTTGACCCGGGCCAGGACCCACAGGGAGCATGAGGTTTAGCCTGGGTCTCCCTGTCACACCAACACAAGGAGATGTTGAGGTGGGGGACTCGGTCAGGCCTGGGGATCCCTAGAGGCGCCCCTACGGTTTCCTGGGCCTACCTGGTCCACTCCCACCCTCTCACCTGGGCAGGGCTGGTCCCGTTGGTGACTGGTGATGGCAGTGGACCTGTGGGGACAGGGTGTCAGGGGCTGCCCCGGCCCCCAGGCTCCACCTCATCCCCAGGCCCCCAGGCAGCAGCCCACCTTCCAGATGTTCCTCAGTGGGCGTGACCCGCAGCCGCTTGAAGTACTCGTCCGTCTCGGGGTCCACCACCAGCAGCCGGGCCTCATCCTCCCGCGCCTTGATGCTGGCGACCACCTCTGCGTGGCGCAGCCCCTCAATGTTGTGCCCGTTCACCTGTCCCCAACAGCGTGGGATCAGCCCCGCCAGAGGTCAGGCCCCCACAGGCCCCCTCCCCACGAGCCACCCAGCCAGGTGTGGCATCAAATATTCATTGATATTGTCACCAGCCGTGGCAGACAGAGGAATGCCAGCTCAAGTTCCCAGCATCTCTCCTCTTCCCAGCAAAGACCTCCCTGCCCAGAAACACGCTTGGGGGGAAACGGGCCCAGACCACGCTCCTCCAGGGGACACAGGCCCAGACACACAGTCTGGCGGACGGGGCCAGACACACGCTCGGGGGGGACAGGAGCCCAGACACACACTCGGGGGAACACAGGCCAAGACACACACTCCAGGAGACAGGGGCCCAGACACACGCTCTGGGGGACACGGGCCCAGACACATTCTCGGGGGGACAGGCCCAGACACACGCTTGGGGGGCAATCGGGCTCAGACACACACTCGGGGGAACAAGAGCCCAGACAGACGCTCGGGGTGGGGGACACGGGACCAGACACACGCTCAGGGGGACAAGAGCCCAGACACACACTCAGGGGAACACAGGCCAAGACACATGCTCCAGGGGACAGGGGCCCAAACACATGCTCCGGGTGGGGGACACGGGCCCAGACACACACTCTGTGAGGGGCACAGGCCTAGACACATGACTGGGGGGACATGGGCAGAGACACATGCTCCGGGGGGACACGGGCCCAGACACACACTCAGGGGAACACAGGCCAAGACACATGCTCCAGGGGACAGGGGCCCAGACACACGCTCTGGGGGACAGGGGCCCAGACACACACTCGGGGTGGGGGACACGGGCCCAGACATATACTCTGTGTGGGGGTCTAGGACCCAGACACACTCTCGGGGCAACCGGGCCCAGACACATGCTTGGGTGGAGGTCACGGGCCCAGACCACGCTTGGTGACAGCCACCTCCCTGAAACCTCCATGACAGGTACCTCGATGAGTCTGTCCTGGGCGCGGAGGCCAGAGTGAGCGGCCGGCGAGCCTGGGTCCACGGAGCGAATATACTGTCCTGGCCGGGACTTGTCACTGTGCAGGTTGAACCCGTACCCTTGGGGGCCCTTCCGTAGGTGGCAGAGCCGAGGGCGTAGCTCCCTCGGGGGCCCGCTGACATCCTGCAGGCACATGAGACCAGGCTGAGTTCTGATCTCCCCCCACCCCCACCCCCGAGGCCCCTGCCAGGCCTCGGCCCCAGAATGCAGCTGCAGTGGAGAAGGGTGAGAGGAACCCCAAATCCACACTCAGCATCACGGCCTGCCCGGCAGCCCTGGGTCTCAGGGACAAACACTATACCCATGTCTGGGGGCCCTGCTGGGCTGCCTGGGGCCGAGCTCCAGCAGCAGGATCTCGAGCAGAACCTCAGTTACCAAATCCCAAACAGCTTCACAAGGGACCAGGGGCTTTACAGGGTGCGAGGGGACCTGCTAATGGGCAGCGCTGAACCCAGGGCAGGGTCCTAGGAGCTGCCACTCAGCACAGCGTCCTGGGTGCACCCCCTCCCGCTGCCCTGCCCAAGCGAGAGGCTGACGTTTGTTTTGTTTGTTTTGTGGCCTCTCTCACATTCCAGAGCCAGCTGGAGCCACTACCACCCCCACAGGGCCCAAGGACAGGGCGCAGGGGCCTGAGCCCAGGGAAGCCAAGGGTGGGACCTGCTGTCCCACACCCCCAACCCGGACACGGAAGGCCCACGATGCCCCAAGCACCCCCCATCGACCATGCAGGGCCTCGCCGGGCTTTACCTCTGGCATCCTGCGGTACAGGGCTGTGGGTCAGGGGGCCGTGCGGTTGGGGGCCAGGCCCCAGGACCCCCACCCAGCCACGGCCTGGGGCCGGGACCACAGTGCCCAGCGGCTGCCGGTGCTCAATTAAACATGGCCGGTGGCCGGAGCTCGAGGGCGGGCAGCGGCTCGGGTTTCTGGGGCTGCTCAGGACTCCGGTGCACGTGCAGGGGAGCGTGTGCAGGGTGGGGTGCTCTCTGGGGCCCCTCCCTGACCCTCCACCTATCTCACTCTCAGAGAAGCTATCCAGGCCCCAGGCACCTGCCCCCTGCTGCTCAGGCCACCCCCCAACCACTCCCAGCCTCCGGGCCTCTCAGCTCATTCTAAACCTCAAATCTGACCCTGAGCCCTCTGGCCTGCCAGTCCGCCTGGCTGTGGACCCAAGAGCTTCTTTTCTCACAGGGCAGGTGGGAGGCCCTGGCTCTGGGCCCCCCACTTGTGCAGAACACCCTCTTCCTGCCCAGCCTGCACCCCTCCTCTAGGATCCCTTCCCGGACCCCCAAAGCCTACCCACCCATGTCCCTGGGATCACCACTGCAGGCCACAGCTACCCCCATAACCCCAGGGAATCAAGGGGCAGAACAGCGGCTCCTCGATCCCCCAGGGGTTCTGCTGCTCAACATGGCCTGAAGGGACGGGCGTGAGACCCCCCAAGTGCCCCAGGGCCCCCCGCCCAGATTCATTCCCTCTCCCAGACACACCTGGAGGCACAGACTATGAGTCCCCCCCAAACCCCCCGCAGCGGGGCCTCTCCGATCCAGGCTGCTGGAGCCCAGGTGCCGAGGCTGACAGGTCGGGAGCAGAGCCACAGCCAGGACCAAGCACACCCGGCAGGTGCGACCGGGCCCAGGTGTGAGCAGCGCACGGCCAGACACCAGACACACAGACACAGGCTCGCAACCGGCTACACCGCGACACACACGTTCGAGAGGACAGCCCTGGCGCTGAGCCCTGAGGCTTCTTCTCACGCCCTCCACAGTGACCTCCCTGGCGGGTCTCTCGAGGTCCCCAAACAGGAAGCAGGACTAGGGGGGCATCTGGGGCCATGAGGCCAGGCTGAAGTCACATCCGGGTTTAGGGCCATCCTGGCCATCCCCCTGCCTCGACCCAGCGCGCCCACTGCTCACCGCACCAGCTGAGAGAACCTTCTCTGGAAGTCTTGCCCTAATGCTCTCCTGCCTGGCGGCGCCCAAGGAACCCTGTCCCCCGCACCCGACCCCAGGCTGAGAGCTGTGCCCGGGCGGGGGCAGGCTGCGTGGAGAGGCCCGAGCAGCAGTGGGTCAGGAGGGGGCGTGCAGGCGCCGCATCGCTCACATTCCTGCTTCCCTGCCCTGGCTCGGAGCATTTCCTGCCGCCTCCCAGCCAGGCCCTCGGGCTCCCACTGGCTCTCCATCGGGCAGCCCAGAGCTGGACAAGCCCTGGTCTCAAAGCCGAGCAGTGACCAGACAAAGACGCTGGCATGGGGGTACCCCAGGAGCCGGGCTGTGCCCCCCCAAATGGTGACTCACCAGCCCTGGCAGAGAAAGGCCCCCATTGTTGCTCAGAGTCCAGCCTGCTCACACCAGGGTCACCAGGGCGTCCCCAATCCCCTCTCCTGACCCCGGGGGACATGGGCTAAGCCGGGCTGCTGGGAGTCCTCCTTGCCTACCCTGTCCCCACCCAGGCTGACCTGCGCGAGTCCCCAGGACGGTCTCTGTGGAGAGGCTCCTGGGGCTGGGGCCAGCGGTGTGGCATCCCCAGAGCGGGCCATGGGAGGCAGGAGAGAAGTGGCAGGCACGGAGTGTCCAGCTGAAGTGGCCTAAAGTCTCCAGCCAGCCCAGGCCACCACCCATTTATCCACCTCCCACAGTGGCCCCAGCTCCCCAGGGATGGGTGGGGACGGGGGGGGTTGAGTCACTTTGGGGAGCAGGGTGGCTGCTGGGTCCCCCTCCCCTGCTCAGGCCCCAGCTAGGCACCCCGTACTGGCTAGGTTTCAGTCCCAAGAAAGGAAGGAAGGAAACTGCTGGGAGGCCCTGCCCTGCCCCCAGGACCTGGGGCTGGGGGGACAGGGAGGCCAGGGAGGGGTCCCCGGCACCACAGCAGGAGAGAGTCTTGCTGAGGCTCCCAGGGCTCTCCTGCAGGCACGAGGGCCCCCATACTAGGCGGCCAGCCCCCACAGGGCTCCCACTCACATGCACCCAAGGGCCTGTGGAACCGGGGTGGGGGCCCAGCTCTGTCCCCACCTCCACGGCCCCGGCACCGCAGCCTGCCCCGTCTGTGCGGGGCCTGTCCCCTGTCGTCACTGTCAGGATCAGCTGTGCTGCAGCTGGCCTGGGGCTGAGTCACCACTGACTAGGACCCCACAGCACCCCCATGGGAGGGCCTGCCCCCTCAGTGTCCTCCCCAGCCCCACTTCCTCCAGCCCAGCCAGGACAGGGGACAAGGAGCAGAGAGGCCAGGAGTGACTCGCGGGGCCCTGACTCCCAGCTTGGCCCTTACGAATGAATGGTGGGACCCTTCATTCTGCACCAGAGCCCAAGCCGTCCATCCCACCCGGCCATCCTGCCTGCGAGCACCCCCCTCCCAGGCACCTTGACCGCCCGTCGGTTTGGGGAGGTCAGCCAAGGCCTGGCTCTTCCTCCAGACCCTCTGAACTCAACCTGTTAGACAGCAGGTCTCTGGCCGGGAGGGAGGGCTTGACCCTGTCCTCTGGGCCTCCCCTGACCTCCCTGGAAGCCCCGTCCCCAGGCCAGCCCCCACCACAGAGCCCCTGCTAGTCTGGCCCCACTTTGTTCCTCTAAAAATACGCCCAGAGGAAGCCCCCTCCTAAGGCTTCCTGCGGCTCCCAGAGCCTGAAATAGCAGAGGGGGAAGGTCCCACCCAAGGACAAGGTGCCTCAGCACCCCACCCTACAGATAAGCCCCAGGGCGGATTTTTCCACAGGAAGGTGAACTCAGCGTTTGTGTCTAAATCAATGGACAAATGCCTGGAGGGGAGGGGCGCTTCCTCTGGGAGGTAAGACGCCCCTGAAGGAGAGGGGCTCCAGCCGGCTGGCCAGCCTGGGAGCCAGACCAGCCCGCACAGCAGCCCAGGACTCCCACAGCCGACTCGGATGACCCCTACTTGGGCCCCGACCATCCCCACTGGGCTGTGGAGCCCAAGGAACAAAAAGCATCCTCAGGGTTCAGACCCAGGCCTGTGCCTAGGCTGGCTTCCCGCCTGAAATGCCGTCTCCCCCAGAGACCCGGGCACAACCAGCTCACGCTGGAGACTCACACACCCGGAAACTTCAGCTCTCACACCTTCACTGGCATGAGGCCAGTGGGTCTCAAAGTGGGATCTGGGGAAACCACTGGGACTGAATTTCTTTAAAGAGATTAAAAAAAAAAAAAAAAAAAAGGCGCCTGGGTGGCTCAGTCCCTTGAGCGTCTGCCTTCGGCTTGGATCATGATCCTGGGGGCCCGGGATCGAGCCCCACGTGGAGCTCCCTGCTCACTGGGGAGCCTGCTTCTCCCTCTCTCACTCCCCCTGCTTGTGCGCTCTCTCACTCTCTGTCAAACAAATAAAATCTTTAAAAAAAAAAAAAAAAGGCAAAACGGGCATGAGAAATGGTGCCATGGAGTTTCAAGAGCATAGAACGATCAGGGCACCTGGGTGGTTTGCGTTCAGGGTCATGATCTCATGAGTCATGAGATCAAGCCCGATGTCGAGACCGGGGTCAGGCTCCACACTCAGTGGGGAGACTGGCTAGGGATCCTCTCCCTCTACCCCTCCTACTGCTCTCTCTCCCCCCCCCCAACTTTCTCTCAAAGAAAGGGGGAAAAAAATAAGATCTTTAAAAGAGAGAGAGAGAGAGAGCGAGCAGAACAAGGAGAGTCAGGCTCTTTCTCTTGGCCCCCATCAAGGAGGATCCCCCAAGTCCTGCCACACAGAAGTCAGTAGAACAGCAGCCCCCCACACATACATGTCTTCTAGCTCTTCTGGCCTGGGGCAGACACAAGAAGGAAAAAGCACGCCAAACACCGTAGACCCCAAACTGAGGACCCAGCTTAGACAGTGTCCCCGGCTGTCCCCAACCATGCACTGCCTACAGAGGAGGACCAGGTCCTACCTCCCAAGGCCTTCCCAGCACAAGCAAGCTCCTTAGACAGGCAGACACCTGACATAAACACAGAGCCAGCCGCGATCTGATCCGTCCCAGGACCTTCCAGCAGACCCTTGCCAGTTCCCTCAGCCGCTAGGCTGGGCTCGTCAGAGAGACCTTTCCTAGGCCAGGGAGCTCTGATGGGCATCCTGGGGAAGACGGCCAGAGACAGGGGGCCAGGGACCAAGGCCACACTCCCCTGGGCCCACCGGCTCAGAACACAGGCCGAGGGCAGAAAGAGTGGCTCCAAGTAGGCAAGACGGTAGTCACCAGTTGCCCCAAGAGGCAGAAGGGATGGAGACTTCTGGAGGTGAGCGGAGGGGGAGACTGGCTGCCATCAAGTGGCAGATACGGCAGTTGTGGGAGAAGCTGGGGCGCCCCCGCGTGCGAGCCCGCTGTACCTTCTGGCCAGCCTCGGAGCCCAGGCTGCTTGCACGTGCCCAGTCTGGCTTTGGCTCCCAGGGGTCGTGGGCGGGTGGAAGCCCTCGATGGGCCATCTCCTCGGTGCAGGTCAGCCTCCGCCGGCGGAGCTCCTCGTCCGTCTCCTTGTCCACCACCAGCAGCCGAGTCTGCCCTTCCACGGCCTTGATCCTCTGCACCACCTGGGCCGGGCAGGTTGCGGGGAGCAGGTCAGCGGTCGGCACTCTGGGCAGCACATGGACAGCGGCGCCACCCAGGGCTGGCCCAGGCTGGCGGGACGGCAGCTGGCCTACCAGGGGTGGGTGGCTGGACGGAGAGGCCCGCAGGCTCCGCCCCCCACCCCCGGAGCCCCGGGAGCTCCCTCCCTCTTTACCCAGCACTCCTGATTCGGGGCTGCGAGGGCTACAGGGTCACTGGGGGGCCTCGCCTCGCCCTGGGTCTGGTCCAGGAGGGGCCGGGAAGCTGGGTGAAGCAGTCAGGCGGTCTGGAAGGTGGTGCACAGCTAAGTCTGGGGGATTTAGGGTGTGCATGTGTGCACGGATGTGTGGGAAGGCGTGCATCCAGGGTCTGTCTTTCGGTCTGGGGTTGAGGGAGCAAGGGGTCTCCCTAGGTCCCCGTCTGGGGATCTGTGGCCACTGCTGTTCTCAGTAGTGGAGCATGGATGTCGAAACCCCTGCTTCTGAGCTCTCCATTTGCCTCCAGACCGGACCCTGACCCCCTGTTCCTGCCAGACCTGCAGAGACAGGAAGGCCTGTTTTCTGAGGCAAGGCACCCGGTGGGCACCCACACACAGCCTGGGAAGCAGGACTCAGAGCCAGGAGACAGAGGCCCCCTGTGGGACAAGCGTGACGTTGGGAGCACTGGCGTACCTATGCAGGTGTCTATGAAGTGTCCAGAGCACGTGCAGGGCCACGGAGTGTGCGTGTCGGGGTATGGTGTGCAGGGAGAAGGAGCGGTCAGTGCCCCCTGGGCATCGGGGTAGGAAGGACAAGACCCCGACCCCAAGTGTTCTCAGCAGAAACTGTCAACAGATAGGAGGGTGTGAACCAGGCCCATCTTCCCCGGGCCCTCCTGGTGAGAGCCACCGGAGGACCCCAGCACCCTGCGGCTTCCTGACTGTAGGACTCAGCCTAGATGCTTGATATCCTCAAACATCAGCTTCCTTATCTGGAGAATGGGAGCTGTGACTGCACCTGCTCCCTCCTGGGCCAGCATGGTTCTGCTCGAGAGCTACAGAGACCAGCACCTGGGAGCCTGGAAGAAGCAGGTGCTCTGGGGCTAGGGCTGGCAGTGACAGTTAACCCAAAGCCAGGTGACACTGTGCCAGCCCCTCCCTGTGGTCTGCTGAGCCCAGACCTCCGGCCCACCCACACCCTCCTTCGGCAAACAGCTTTATCCAGCTGAAACTCTGGGTGCAGGACAGAAGGTAGGCAGACGGACAGACAGGCAGGGGCCTCAGGGGTAGAAGCAGGAGTTCAGCTGCTAGTGCAGCAAAGAACCAATTTACTAATCTCCAGGCCCCAAGACTGGCCACGCAGACAGGTCACAGACTCACAGGGGCTGGGGAGGACACTGAGAACCCTGAGCAGAAGGGGTGGAGGGAGCTGGACTGACGCCAGCCGAGTCCCTGCCAGTGGGAGATAGAGTCCCCAGGGAGCAGAACCTTCTGGCCCTCATCCCCAGTGGCAGGAGGCAGGGGCTGCGGTAGCGGCTCCTGCAGGGCCGGGTGGCCTCCAACGAGGACGTGCTGCCACCAGCAGAGACTCTAAGGGATCCAGACGCCATCAGCCAAAACACACATTAGTACACTGACCTGCCAACACACACTAATGACTACACATAGCCAGGCAGGCAGAGCCACAGGCCCGGACACACACACACACACACCGGACTGCAGATCTGGGCGCGCACACACACCTAGAGGTGCACATTCACATGCACAGTGCAGCACGGGCGCACACACACATTCGCTGACACACGCACATACAGGTGTGCCCTCACTGGGATACCCCTCAGGTACCCCCGGGGGGCAGATGTGGTCACACGTGCGTGACCCCCAGAGGGACGTGTACACACACACATAGCCAGCTGTGTACACAAGCACGTGTTTACACTCACAGACAAGCACTCAGGCCCCCCCCAGGCATGGAGACCCCCCAGGGTGACAGACGCCTGCACTCCTTGCACACGGAGGCCCGAAGGAGACTCCAGTGCTGGGGCCCAGGGCCCAGGGCCCAGAGCCGCACTGCGGGCCCCTCCCTGCCAGGATGCCCCCTCCCCGGCGCAGGAGCCAGCTGGCCGAGGCGGAGAGGCGAGCGAGGAGGCCGGCGTCCGCTGCCTCCGTGGCCACGTCCGCCACCTCGTAGCGGGAAACCACGCAGGCCCTCGTGCGACCCCCTCCCACCCCGGGCAGGGCGCCGAGGCCTGGGCGCACGCAGCGCCCGGAGCCGCGGTCGTTGGCGCCCCGCGCGAGCGAGCGCGAGGCGGGGAGGCGCTCCCCGGGGAGGGGGCCCGGCGGGGCGGCGGGCCGGGGGCGGGTCGCGGGCACCCACCTGGTGGTGCGTCTCGCCCTCCACGTTGACGCCGTTGACCTCGACCAGCCGGTCCCCGGCGCGCAGCGCGGCCGCCTCGGCGGGGGAGCCCGGCTCCACGCGCCGGATGAACTGCCCGCGGCGGCCCTTCTCGCCGTGCAGGTGGAAGCCGTAGCCCTGCTCGCCGCGCACCAGGCGGCACAGGCGCGGCCGCAGCGGCTCCGGGGCGGCCATGGCGGCGGCTGCCCACCGGCCGACCACCGGCCGGCCACGGCGCTGACGCCTGCCGCGGGCAGGCAGGGGCGCGGGGGGCGGGCGCGGAGGCGGCGGCAGCGGCAGCGGCGCTGGGGACCCGGCGGCGCCCTCGGCTGCTCCCGCTCGGCTCCCGTCGCCTCGGGCTCGGGCTCGGGCTCCGGCTGCGGCGCCGCCCCCGCCCCCGCCCCTTCCCCGCCTCCTCGGTGGGGCCGCCCCCGCCCCGAGTCCCGGCCCGTCCTGGCTGCGGCCGGCCTCGGCACCCTGCCAATCCCGGGGGCGGAGGAGTCCGCAGGGCTTTGGGACCCCCTCTGTCTCGCCCGGAGTCTGGGCAGCCTCCCTGGCGCCAGCGCCTTTGCCTCCTAGTCCAAGAACATTTATTGAGCACCTACTGTATGCATTCGTGACACGGAAGCGGGCTCTTGAGGTAGGAGAGGAGTGGAGAAGGGGTGCTCAGGCCAAACAAATCCACACGGGGGCGGAGGGTAAGAACAACGGCCACAGCTCTGTCCACCATCCTCGGGAACACACCCTCCCTTGCCTCCCCCCCCCCCAATCCTCGCTGTCTCTGTCTGGGGATCTGTCCTGCACCCAGAGCTGCCCCAGCCCAGCAGAGTCCCAAGATGGTCCAGGAGGCAAAAAGGAGTTTGGAAATAACAAGGCAGCAGCCTGCCCCTATATTCTGGAGGCTAGTGACCGGGTGGCTCGGGCCCTCCCCAGGATATCGGTTTTGCTTATCTGTGCTGGGGATGTCTGTTAAACGTTACCCATCCTCCCAACACACAACTGTCTCTGCCAGGTACCCTCACTTGTGCCCCGGCTCATCCCAGGGAGAGATGACATGTATCCAGGACTTTGGCCTCTGACCTCTGGCTTGTGATCAGTGCTCAGAGAAGCTGTTCCCATGAACTAGCCCCTGTGACCCACCCCCCGGCCCCAGCCCACCCTTCCCTCCATCCTTCTCCCCTAGCGTCTAGCTCCTATCCCCAGCATGAGTGTCCCTTCCCCCAACCAGTCAAGAATGACAACAGAAAATTGGTTATGCTTTGTCGTGCCTCTGAGTACACTTTACCTGGAAAAACCCAAGGGCGCTCAGGCCATTTTGTAGATCAAGAAACAGTTCTAGAGAGGAAGACCTAGGCAAAGTTCTCCAGCTCCTCTTAGGCACTGCTGTGAGAGTCCAAGTCCACACTTTATCATGGAGCTCTTTCTCAGCCTCAGATACAGGAAGACAGCTGAGTTCCCCCTCAGCCTGCCCCTCCCCAGACTGCCCAGACCCCTGCACATACCTGGTCCCCGGGGGTCAGGTATAACCAGCCCAGACAGTTCCCCATGGGGGCAGAAGCAGGCTCCGCTCGGACCCCGTCCTTGCTGCTCCTTCTCCCCTCTCCAGTGCCCTTAGCCTGGGCGCCCAGGCCCCGCCCAAGCACAGGGCTCTCCTCTGGGCAGCCTCCTGGGCCCCAGCCCCTTGGGTGTCCACACCCGGCTGCTGCCCCTAAAAGCCACTTAGGCCAAGACTGCACGGCTGCTTCCCCAGCCCCACCTCTAAGTTCCTGGCTAATGCTGCCATAGGCTCCCGCTGAGCTGGCCACCTGCATCTGTCTGCTTGCCTGTCCAGAGCTTGCTTGTCTGGTCTGTGACTGCCTCTCTGGACCCAGTCTGGTGCTGCTGCTCCTGAAGGCTGTGACACGGGTGCGGTCTACCACATACCAGCCCGGATGGGGTTTAGGGGTCACCCCCAGCAACCAGGACCTGCCAGTTTGTGGTATGGGGCCACCCCAGAGTCTAGGGAGGTAGATGGATGGGAGCCCCCCAGGCTGGGGGTAGAGAAATAGGAGCGCCTGGTCCTCCCGGGAGGACCTTCCTTGGAGATCTCCTCCCCCCTGCCGCAGCACAGAAACTCCCAGGATCAGCCTCAACCAGTCTGTGAAGATGAGGGAGGAGTAACCAGGGACATGTGGTCCCAGCCAGGGGCCAGAACATTGCATCGCAGCGTAACAAAGGAGGCTCCAAAGCAGAAAAGGAGCTGGGAAGGACCAGGAAGGTAACAGAGTAACAAAGGCAACAGCAGAGAGTAACAAGGGGGTGTGGGTAACAGCCGCAGGATAAAGGCGGCAGGGAGAAGGGCAGGTAGATTCCGCAGGGGTAGCAGGAATGGGTGAGGGGAACACGTAAGGATGGGGGCCCAACGAACAAATGCAGGGAAAGCGAACCCAGCGGCTCTCCGGGCAAACTCTCCCATGCCCTTCCTCCAGCCGCGGGCCTCCACGTGAGACGGAAGTGGGAGGCAGAGAACCGGGCCAAAAGAACAGCATGGACAAAGACCGAGGAGAGCGGCGGGCAGGGGCTGTAAGGCGTTTGGGTCGCCCGGGACCGGGCCAGGGGAGGTGATCCGCGAGGCCCGGGGCAGGCGGGGAGGCCGGTGGGAGGTGATCCCCACCCCTACCCCGACACCCTCGCTGCCACCTTGCTACACAGGCCTTGCGACAGACGGGAGGCAGACCTCTCGGGGCTTCCCTCTCCTGAGCTGTCAGAGGGGTCCCTTGGGGTGGGGGCCGGCCCAGGGCTCCCGGGGCGGGGAAGGGGCTTTCCTCTTGAGCTTTGAACCTAGCTCCCAGGTGCGACGCCCCGCAGCGATGGGCGGAGCTTGGGCCTGGGCGGGGATTCCGGGGTGTGGCCGTGGGTAGAGGCCTGGTCGCCGGCCAGGGAAGGCTTGGGGGCGCGTCTGCAGGGTGGAGCCATTACTCTGACGCCCGGGTAATGCCCGGCTTCCCGGGCCGGCGCCGCCTCCCTACTGGGCATTAACGGCCCCATGGGATGACCGGGCCTCGCTTACGGCCTCCCCCCTTCAGACTACGCCAGGCCTCTCTTCAGAGCCCGAAACTGCAGCAGCCGGGACCAGCGCAACGGAAAGAGAGAGAACACGACACCCGGAGCCGAAAGGGAGAAAAACGGGGAGAACCGCGCGGACCACCCGAGAGAGGCGGAGCAGGAACCCGCCCACTCGCCCTGGGCCCGCCCACGCCCTGCTTCTGGCCCCTCCCACCGCCGCAGGCGCCGACTGGGGAAGCCGTCCGGAGGCGCAGCCGCGCAGCGCCGCCGGCCGGCTCTCGGTGGGATTGCTTTGCTCAAGGGGCTGGCCCGGGACCTCCCCACCTGCTCCGCTCCGACTCGGTCCAGCCTTGCCCTGCTGGGTGGCGATTGCGAGTGAGGCCGGCGCCTTGGGGCTGCTTGCACTGCAGCGGCACAGGGGTGCCAGGAAGGCGGTAGGCAGAGAAGCCGGGCCTCTGTCAAGTCCCAAATCAGCACTGCTTTTTCGCCTTGGACCTGGTGTCCACCCCTCTGGACCGGGGTACCCCCAGGCAAGGGAAATCTCACCAAGTGTCCAGCGCTTGTGACCAAACATATGCAGACCACTTGGCCCCGGCGCGGAGTACCTGCAGTCTGTGTGGGGAACAGGAAGGAGCAACAGGACCAGGGGACAGGGCAGCTGTGTGGCCCAGCCCCAGAACGTGGAATTTGCGCCGTCGGTGGTGGAGAGTGAGGTGCTGTGCCCTGGAAGGGAGATCAGATCAGGACGCCCATGCTTTGAAAGGCCGAGTTTGGCGAGACGCGGGAGCAGGAATGGCCTTGGAGTGCAGAGAATGGGTTGACCTGAGGAGTCTGTGGCCACCGCTTCCCTCAGGGCTGATCCTGGAATCAGAGTCTGTACAGTCAGGGCTCAGTCAGTAAGAACCGGGAGGGCCGAGAAAAAAGCACCCACATTAGGAGACAACATGGGGAAAAGGATGTACCCAGGAGATGAGCGGGAATTGCCAGTAAGGAGGAATGGGGGCTTCCAGAGGCCAAGGAGAACGTGGGGGCTGGTTCCATGTGAGTATCTTGAAGCTAGTCAGCTCAAGGGGTATGGGACCACCCTCCTCTGCTCCTGGCTGGCTGTCCTAGTGGAAGGCCTTGCCATATGGCCAAGGGAGGGCCCAAGGGCAGACAGCATCAGGGTACGGTGACTGGGTGCTTGGAGGCCCTGGACAGTTGTGAGAGTCAGAGCCCACGCAGAAGAGGGTTGACGAGGAAGCAGAAGCGGGGAGAGGCCCAGACACTTGTGAGCGGGAGCTGTAAGGGGGTCCAGGTGGAGGGAGGCCCTTATTCCCGATGGCAGAGCATAACTATATGGGGGTTGGGGCCGATAACTGAAAATGCGGAGGCGATAAGAGTGGAAGGGTCTCTGAGGGGGCAGGGGTCCTTCCTCCCTAGGAGGAGAGCGGGGTCTTGAAGGAGGGGCTGGAGGTTTGCACTTGCTCTCCAGAAACCACTGGATGAGGGGAAGGAGGGGTGCAAAAGTGGTCGGGTTTAAAATGAATCCTGGGAAATGGGGGAAGGTCTGGGTGGGCTGCTTGGTCGTAAGGTCCCTTAAGGAAGACATACTCCTCCCCAGCCTGGCCAGAGGGCATAGTGAGGGGGCACTCTGGGGCTCCCGGGAGGCTGGCATTGGGGGCTCTGACTCTAGGGTGTGAGTTCTGTTTCCCTCTTTCTGGTGGATGGCAGTGGGACCCAGGGTCTGCCTTGCACCTACCTACCCTGCGACCTCTCCTCTCCTGTGGGACCCTCGGACCTGGTCTGATGACCCCATCTTGGAACAGGAGATGCAGTGACAGAGAGGGAAGGGGACCAGTCTCTGCCTCTGTCCCCTCTTTGCCCATCCCCCAAGCACTTACAGATCGATCTGGCTAGGAGAGGGCACCCCCCCCCCCCCGGAGCCAGGGACAGGGCTCCTGATATTTGCCAGGGCGTGAATGAAGCTATTTGCTCCCTGAAGTGAGATGCCAAGAACACATCACAGAGGAAAGGCATCACATGTGGGAACGCATGAACCAGGCAGCTTTTATTGGCCAGACCTCCTGGCCTGGCCTGAGCTGTGCACCCAGGCAGACGAGTAGACTCCCTCTGGGTCAGACGAGGGGCGTCACCAGCAAGGGCTGGGGAGAAGTGGGGACCAGCAAAGGTGGTTCACTGCGCAGACCATGGCTGAACAGGAGACACGCCAAAGGCTCTAGAAAGAACAAAGCA